TTAAATCAAAATAAAATACACTCAAAATATCTGCGTAATAAACTTATAAATTGTTTTCCTCTCCTAAACCGTATTTGTATTTCTATCAATAATAAACACTGTTAAAGATATCTAAGAAAAAAAAAGATAAGAGTACAAACAATAAAAAAAAATAGAGATCCAGAAAAAAAAAAGGGGGATATTGAAAAAACAAGAAAATCTCTTTTTTTCTTTATCTCTGGTAAGCATTTTTCGTTTTTTTTTTTTCTTCTGATAGAATTTGGTTTTCGACTATTTTTCATTACTGTGTATCAGTTAACTAAAAAAATTACTAAACTTTTAACAGCTATAAAATTTGACTTCAAAATTATTGAATTAGGCAAAAAATGTTTGCTTTTATTTGATATTCCTAAACGACCAGTTGCTGGTATTGTGCTAACAGCGCATAGCTGAACCAACAGCAGCAGTGGTAACGATGTAATCATCAGTATAAATTTTCTTCCTTTTTTTTTGTTGCATTTATCAACCTTATAGGTTTTAATCAAATCACTATATTTCCTAGTTCAAAAAAAAAAATAAAAAAAAAAAGAAATAGGACTACCACCTATGAAATAATTGGCAGCAGCAATGAAATTGTCACTATGCAAAAAAAACGAGGAAAAACCTAGATGATTTAAAAGTTGATGACAGCAACAAACTATAAGTATCAACTTTTGCCATCAAGCGGTTTCGTTGTATCGTAGATGGTTGGAGCACGTAAAATAATTATCGCTGTTCCTAATATACAGGCGCTCATGAACAAAAGTAAAAATATTCGATCCATTACAACAGATATGTATTTCCAGTCTTCAATTACCTGCAAAATACAATTCATTTTGTCTCGTTTGATCAAAATCTTTATAGAAATTATCAAGCAATAATTGTAAAGCAGAACCACCAAAAAAAAGACTTTTTAATACACCAATAATGAATGTTCAAATACCGTATCAAACAATTTTTCAAACTTTTATGTGTCACCATACTGCCTCATTAATTGCAGTAAATTACTACTTACTTGGCTGTCTTCGTCCTCATTTTTAAAATGATCAGCGATGTATGAAACGCTATCGACAGCGCTTTGTACCGGAGTATACTCTTTTTGAAAGCTTGCAAAACTTGACTGATCCGGACTTCGAGTCCCACAGAACGACGACTGATATCGTGGGGTCAGGAAATCCATCTAGAGTAAACTTGGCTGAGATTGGCAATTTAAGGTAACGTTATACGACTATAGCTTTCTGTTAAACTCTCTTAACCAAACTTGCAAAATAGAAATTTCGAACAAATTAGCCAAGAAATTTTACATTCTTTTTGTTTTTTTTTCTTTGCTTTTATTTATTATCTGCAATAAAACAGTTTTTTGCTTACTTGATCAAATAAAGCAGAAGCATAATGATCACGAGGTCTGATGCTGAAACTTGGAGGCCTAAGGTCAGACTTTTTGGCGGTTATTGACTACAAAAAAAAAAGTTTTCTGTTTTCACAAAAAAATAACAGTTTTGAACAGATCATTTGACAGCGTCAGTGTTTTGTCAAGTTTTTCCTTCCATTTTTTTTTTTTTTTGATTGTTGAAATCTATTTGCTAATAAAACTATTCTTGGAAACAGTTGTCAAATAATTAATTTTGCTAAAAAGCTGTCAGTAAAGATGTCGTAAGTTGAATAAGGAGTAAATAAGAACCGTATCACTAGATGTGCTAATTTTGTCGTTAACCACTGAAGTTAAAGATGGACGTTTGATAAACAAGTAACGAGGTAAAAATTCAATAAAAACTTTCTTCAACCAATTCGGCATCTTGTGCGTTGACGGAGATCGAAAGTGCACATTCTGCAGGTTCAAATAAATGTTTAAAAATAATAAAAAGAAAAAGAGCAAGAAGAAATGTCAAAGAAATTTTTTTCTCAAAATTGCCATAAAATACATCCGACATATTTTTTATAACACGTATCTAACATTTTCTCTCTACTTTTATCGCCATAATCTGCCGATACAGGACAGAATCCAGAAAAAACAGTCTGCTGTAGAAAGCACATTAAATGAACTTACCAAAGTGATAACTGTAACAATAACCGAAAGCGTAACAAGTACCATGGTAAAGAGAAGATATTTGCCAATTAAAGGAATTACTAATGAGGTCGATGGAATTATTTCAACTGAAAATAACAATTATAATCTGTGCTTTATATATAAAAAAAGAAAGTTCTATTAATTCAATTGATCTCTGCACTCCTTTTCTTTCCCGCTTTTAATCCATACCTATTCTCAGCAGTTATAACGGAGTTCTAAACCAAAAAAAAGCTACTAAACATAAAATACATCAAACTTTTTTTTTCGGTTTGTTCCAGCAGTTTATCTAAGAGTTAGCAGCAGCAGTAGTTTTTCTTTTTCAATGAACAATGTTTTACCTAACAAAAGAAAGAAGACAGTGAGCGAAATAAGAATTGAGATACACAACGATATTTTTTCACCACCATCTGAAGGCAAGTAGAATACTAAGGCAGTCAGGAAACTGAAATACAAAAGTATACGTATGTAATTCTTTATTTTTTTTTGTTTAAAACTATAGTAAAGCAAAAAAATTTGCGCAAAAAAAAAGAACAACCAACCTTATACCAACAATAGGACATATAAGAAATACTGTGTAAAACAGAGTTTTACGCCTCAAATGTATTTCATAGGTGAGATCAATAAATGGTGAATCACAGCAGTTATATCTGAAACCAAAATAGCATAAAAGCTTCTATTGATTATCAGAACTTATCATTGGGTGTTCCTACAGAATTACAATTACCTTAAACAAGTGTAATGCTTTTTTAAGAGTTAGGTTTCAAACTGCAAAAAAAAAAAAGGAAAAGTGAAAGTGAACATATAAACTGTTACGTACCTTTTTTCATGACGTTTTGCGGGCACATGAAGAACATCCCATTCGACGCTCGGATAATAGTCACTTAAATCAATGCCTGTAAAGATAGAAATTCAATTCTATGTGAGAGGTAACAGTTTCAGTGTTAAATGCGTTAAAAATAGAGTGATCAGAATGCATAAGATCAAGTCAATAAAAATACTGACCATCTTCAACAATCCAAACTTGTTCCTGTTCCCCACCGTTAATACCCGCTACAGTTTCATTTTCAACCCGTTGTTTATGCAAGTCTTTATGTTTCAGGTCTACTTCTAAACCACCGTATGTCCAGGAACCTAAAATAAGTTTTCCTGTAAATTTTTTGTAAATAAAAAATTGAAATACACAGAAACAAACAGAGGGAGAAGAGGAGACAACAATTGTTTCAGCTAAATGCATATACCGCATAAAAATTTCACCAGAGAAGCAACAGTCTATTAAGCCTTCAAAGAAAACTACTGTGGTCAGCAACTTAATTTCACCAAATTTTTTTGACTTTATCGATAATATATGTTCTTTTTTTTCATCGTTACTGGTTTTTTTTCCACTATGTTCAAATGAATTTTGTGACTGCAATGCACAAGTTTATTAGTTTACTATCGATGTCTGTTTCGGCGATAAGATTACTTTGTTCTATTAATAGAACTGGTTGAACAATTATCAAATGTTATAAATCACTAGTACTATAGCAACAACACAAATGTCTTATTTCAAAATTATGTAATTGTAATCTTACTCTTTAATCAAAATAGTAGGGAAAAATGGAAAAAAAAGCAACATAGAAAAGGAATTAATTTTGAAATGTTTCTTTTGTACAGTCAGGAAAAAAAGAAAAGATCAAGCAGCAAAGTCGACAGCTAAATTGTTGCAAAATTCTGACAACAAATTTTTCAGTGGGCTCACATCAATGCTAATTTTTATGTTCAATTTTGCTTCTGTTTTTTTTTCTTTGTATAAAAAAAGTAACTTTTTAAACAGTTTAAAAAAAAGAAAAACTTCAACAGTTAAAATATTGAACACTGTCAACTTATCATCAGATCGGAAAGCAACAGTATCCGGCAGTAAGCAGTTCTGTTAAGCACAGCGAACAACCTTTGTTGAATGCTGGACAATTTTCAATAATCAACTCGATAAATCGTTCATAGAAGCAGTCAAAACATTAAAAAAATGTTAGATTCAAAAAAGTAAAACACAAAAAAAAGAAGAAAAGAAACAATCTTTTTCTCTCAACTTAAAAAACTAAAAATTATTTGTCTGTTTATCTTTTCAACTACAGCTTTACTGAAAGTTTCAAAGAGCAGCACCACAAACAATGACAATGCTTCTAAACCTTCTAAAGTTTTTTTTACCGAAGGCTTTGATCATCTTATACTCACGAAAAAATCTTATTGAGAATGTTCAGGTACCTGCTAATACTAAACCGAAAATAAAGTATGAATCAAAAGATTAAGTTTCTATTAAATTAAGTTATCAGATAAAAATTTTTGCTCGACAATAGATTTGATAAGATTGGTAGACAGAATATGTGCTAAGATTTATTCTGATTTATCGTAAACTGCCTCTGTTATTTATGCTAATAGTCCACTAATCTTAGAATTTAATCAGTTTTATAGCAGAATTTATAAGATAATAACAATAAAAGAAAATAAAAAGAAATTTTTTTTTGTTTTGCAAATTCTGCTTTTTCAGTCAGATAATTCTCAAATTTATTGTTTCGTCGATGCGTTTTTTTCTCAAAAAAGTTTTAAAATTTACAAACAAAAAAAGTTATTTTCTTGCAACAGTCAACTTTAGAAACTTACTTAGGTGTAAAATATATATCCTGTCTCTTTTTTTTTCTGAGCAACTGCTTAACGAAAAAATTGATAAGATAAACCAAAAAAAAAAAAAAGACTGCTACTCTAAACAAATTGAATTTTAAAAAGTAAAAAAATGAATAAATGAAAAACAGTTGGATTTTCTATCAAAGAGGCAACTTAGTCTCAGCAAGTATAGTAGATTTTTGTTTTTCATGAAATATATTCAGTGGATGTAGACAACTAATGAGCTGCCAAAACGGCGTCACCAAATAATTTGCCGGCGATCACTTTACTAAGCACTGTGTCAACCAAAACTTCTCTTTGAGACTGAGTCTACTTTATTAGATTATCACTGAGAATAAAACGTTATTGCTTAACTTTTTCTAGTTGATGAACTAATCACTTGACAGCGGCACTGTTGAGTGAATTCAGCCTAAATAAAGAGTAAAAACAAACTTCTCTACTGTTGCAAAAAGTCTGTTTCTTAAACACAGTACTCTAGACCAAAGTAAGTTTATCATCAGGTAAGGAAATTGGTGAGGTTTTTTGTCATAAAAAGTTGGCTGCTTGTTCAACTTTACATTTTCAGTTATTATTTTAGCGTCATTAGCCTATAAAATAGATAAATTTTAAAAATTTTTGTTCTTATTTTGACTACAGTTTGAACAATATAAAATGCTTTAGAAATTGTTTTATAACAAAGACAATATATTGTTTTTGGGTCTAAAAACTTCCGTTTATTCGACGTCAGCATTTAACCTGCGAAATTTTATGATATTAAAATCTTCAAATAGCAAAAGAAAGAAATCAAAAAGTTTTCATGCTTAATCAGAAATGACTTAACAATAAGAAATTTTAGAATTTAATCTAGACACCTATTTTAAACTGAAAATGCTTGATGGCTAATTCAGAAGTTTTGTAAATCTGAATAAATATAAAAATCAGCTGAAACGATTTTCAAAAAAAAAAAGTTTAAAATTTAGATTTTTATAAACAAATAAAGAACTGAAATACAGAAATCTGATTGCATACGGTACAGCAGATAATTGATAATGATAGAAAAAAGAAAGAAAAAAAAAATTTGAAAATCTTACCAAACTTCATTTCACAGGTTTGAGCATCAAATGGAAACCATTCGATATCAATTTGGCACATACTAAACAACAATGAATAATTACGTTGCAAAATTCTAGAAAAGTCAATGCTTCAAAAAAAAGCTTTTAACGACAAAGTTTAGTCATTTTCAGTATGGTACCTTTTATAGACAGCCGGTGGTGCCCATTCAACAGTACCATTATAGGTTAGTTTGGCTTTGGTCATTATAGTTACCTGATAATTACCATCGGCACTAAAACTTTTAGACTTCGTTTTGCCAGTCTTATTGTTAGAAGTACAGATCAAATTACTAAGTTTAAACTCAAAAAATAAGGCTCTTGAAAGAACATTGAGACGTACAATGTAATAGAGTAATTCTGTTTTCACTTCTGTTCTTTATAACAACATTTACCGTTTAATCTAAACAAAAATTTTATCAAAAAAAAAATGAAAAGTTTGTTCAGTTGCAGTAAAAAAAAAAATTTCTTCTTACTTATTGTATAAAACCACATCGGGTAACCAAATCATATCAGAAGGCACATAAAGAACTTCAACTCCACCATAATCGATAGGATCCCATTTTAGTTTATAATCGACCCATGTCTGCAACATCGATTATACCCAAGTGACAGCCTCAGAAGCAGTGTCAGTTTTGTCAACTTTTTCTTCTACTTCTACTTAATTTGACAATTTGTCGTTGATGGCAAAAAAAAAAAAAATAGAAGCAGCAGCGACAGCAAAAATATTTTTATTGAAAAATAATACTTCAAAGACGACAGCAAAAAAAAAAATTGGCTATTACTGAGCAAAAAAAAAAAAAAAGAAAAAAAAAGCTATCGTTTCTTTGATCAGTTGTCTAATTTTGGTTGTTGGAGACAAAGAAGAAATTTTCTTGCGTAAATTAAATTTAAAGAGCACTTTTTTTTTCAATGTTTGCTACCAAAAAAGCCATTTTTTTTTTTTGAGAGGGGAGCGGGAGAACTAAATTAGGGCCTTATTAATAGTTTTGTTTTAGTGGAATAAGCTCAGTGAAGGGAAAAAAAACCTATTATTTACTATTGTTAATATTTTTTTTTGGTTATTCAAAAAATAAAAACAGTTCTTTTTCTTCAATATTTAATGCAAAAAAAAAATTTTATTTTTTATTTTACTTTATTCTATTATCTTATTGTTTTTAATATCTTTTTCTACTATTCAAATTTGACAGCATTTATTTGATATGACTTTTTTACATCTACCAAAATCAGTTATTATTTCAAAAGTAAAAAAATGGATGTTTTCTTAGTTTCTAATAACTAAATCTACTCATAAACATTTAAATGCTAGTTCAAATTTTTTGAAAAAAAAAATAAATGAATTGTTTTAATAGTGGTTACAGTTGTTCAATGAATATAACTTTTTAGATGAGACATTTAGAACTGTACAGTTTTCTGCTATCATTACAACAAATATTTTTTTTTGGTTTACATGCACATAAATAACAGTTAAATTATTCAGCTATTATTTATTCAACTAATATAAAAATCTATTTCTTCTTTCAAAACAAAAATAAAATTTGTTTTTCTTGATTGAAATAAAGACAAATAGGCGATGAGGAATAGTAATAAAAAACTTACATGTTGCAACCAAACGTTAGTGGTCATGATCTGATTCTTTTCATGCTGAAATATCATTTCATCTTCAGATTAGACTTATTATGTGAAAATGGGAAAGAAAAAAAAATTTCTGTTTCTGCATTAAACCGGTTAAAAAGTGGCAAAAAAAAAAAAGAAAAGGAAGATATGAATAGGAATTGTAAAACAATACGGTAAAGTTTTTTTTTGTATATATTCCAGTTCTATTAAAGGGTGTCTGCAGTTTTTTGATCTGTTTTCAGTAAGTATAATGTTAAAAAAACTATACAATTTTTTTTGGAAAAAATCTAGAATTAACAATTATTTGTTTTACTAAAATTATCACTGTAATTTGTTGATTATTGCAATCTTTTGAACAACTTTTACTTGATTTATCAAATTCGGCAACTATTCCGCTAAAAATTCTTAAAATTGTTAATAAAAGTTTCTATTTCTCTTTCGTTTCTTCGCCTTTTTCAGCTCAGTTTTCTTAAGTCTTCAGTGGTCTTCTTCAAATTCTTTTCAATATATCATTCCAAAAAAGAAAAAAGAAAAGTTTTTATCGGAATAACTGCCTAAACTGAATGTATCGAGCAGTAAGATAATCTTCTTATTTATTTATTTATTTTTTTTTTTGAATTTTCTGATTACTGTTTAACAGTTTCTTTCTGATTTCTCTATGTTTTCTTTCTTCTTCTTTAAAGCTTACGTACTGAAAAACTGCAGTAATACAATTTTGAAGCGAACAAAAAAAAAAAGTGACTCAGTAAATAATCAGCAAAAAAAGTCAGCTCTGAAACTTTCAACATATTGTGTGTTTATTCATCTTCAGAACTGTCTAAAAGATATCAGAAAAAAACCAGAAGCTGTTGCTGATGCTAAAATAAAAGAAAAAATCTTTGGATTTTAGCATAGACGTCTTATTCGGGGGTGGTTAATCCGACGGTTAAAACATCTTTTAATTATGTTTTACCGCAACAAAAAAATTATAACAAAAAAATCTAATGTATAGAAAAAAAATGCTTAATCGACAAAAAAGTGGAGAGATTAATAAGCTGATTTTTTAGAAGGTACAACAGAAGAATAAATGCCTAACTTTGCTTATTGTTTAAAAGATTTATCATTAGTACTATGCAAAGTTACACTGAGCATGACTGGACAAAAATTGACAACAACAGCATTTTGAGCTGTCTATCCTAGATTTCGATAAGATCAGTCTCGACAGTAGACTGACAAGTCAAGCCAAGTTGCTTTTGATACTTGGTTAGCCTGGAAATTAACTGCCAAATAAAAAAAAAAGCTTGAATAAAACCAAAAGCATTTTTTTAGCACTTTATTTTGTGTAACCCGTTGAGGACAGCCACAAAAAAATTTTCAAACAAATCTGTTTCCTTTTTCCAACAAAAATATTTCTAAAACAAATAAAATTTTGCTGAACTTAAAAACTGAATATTTGTTAAAAAATGTGTAAATACTAAAACAATGGTATAGTTTCTTTTCGCTGTGTTTCAGATCAGTAAACAGGAAGAAAAAAAAACACTACATTGGTACGAGACATTAATGAGAAAAGAAAAAGAAGTTTAGAGCTATAAACTAAGGCTCTAAAAAAGTTGAAAAATCAACGTTAGTCATATTTTTTCAACTTTTTTTCATAATTCCATCCAACTTTTTATAAATATAACATATAACTTTCTTCTTTCACCACTTTTTTTGTTTGTATTTGTAGTGATAAATAAAAAATTTAGTCTAGTGTGAAAAAAGATGCCAAAACAAGAAGTAGGATAATTGAAGTAAAAAGTGGTAAATAAAGTTGAGAAAAAAAAAGTCTTTTTATCAAAATTTTCTTCTTTCTTTTTTTTTTTCTGAAAGCTATAGAAGGAGGATGAAGCTGAAAGTGATGATAGATCAACTGAAAACGAGCGTTAAGTGGTAATATCCGATAGACAACAAGAAAATGATTTCTAAGAATTCAGTCTTTTCTTTACTGCTAATAAAGAAAGAGGTAAAACAATAAGAAGAAAAAACACTTGATAAAAGACGAGTAATTTTTTGTAGTAAAAAAAAAAACTTTTTTTGATTTTTATAACTTATAACCTTCTTGTTTCCTGCTTCTTCACTTTTTATAGCCAACGGCTACAAGACGGGTGGAGAAAAAGTGAAAAAAAAATAAAAAACGAGAGAGAAATCAAAAAGTTTACTGCACAGTATATTTGTTGCAAAAAAAAAAATGCTGTTGAAAAATCTTTTCATATATTCAATTAAAATTTGACTTCTAATTCAGTTGAAAACTATAGTCTAGCCAAAGCAGTTAGTTAATGTGTAAGCAGTACAGAAAAAAAAAAAACAAATATCAGACTCAAGAAATGAGGAGAAAAAAGGTTAAGGTTTTTTTTTTTTTAGAACTAACCACATCAAGCAGTTGCGATAGTTTGAGCTTAAAATAGACAACAAGTGTATCGCTGTCATTTTCAACAGGTCGAACCAACTTGTTGTAACTGGCCAAGAGATCTTCAAACAGTTGATTTGAATTTTGCGTAATATCTTTAGTGGATTCCATAATGTCGACGATTAGCAACAGTAAATACAGTAGTAGAAAAAGGCGAATCCAAAAAAACATGTCTCATTAGGAACAGAAGATATGGAAAATTTTTTTGCTGCCACAATCACAGAAAATAAATTTGTATATTTTTTTTTTTTAGAATTTTTTTTTTTTTTTTTTTTTTTT